CACCTCGACGCTTACTTGGAGTGAGAAATCATCACTCTGGCTGCAATTCTTCACGAGCCAGACGCACAAGTGAATGGAATCCACACAAATGAGGTCGTTAGCATAACTGAATATGCTCTTCATTCCTTCAAGAATGAAAAATATGAGTAATTCACTGGCAAGGCCCAATTACAGCCTGCCAGCACTAGCACATGGGTAATATCTATTATGAAATAATAAGATAACATTAATAAGATTCCCAGAAAGGACATTAGACAGCTAATCTCACGACTGTGTACAACTGGTTTAACTATCCAGGCTGTCTCCTGCCTGCATGGCTCTGCGGTCTCCAGGTCTTTTTTGTCATTTTCACTGGGAAAAGTTCAGGTCTAGCAGCTTTTAAGCAGGGGGTTCTGAGTGGGAGGCAGGGTGAGCGCTCTGGGAGAGCTGAGAAACACAGGGTAGCTGCTCTCCTTCCAGGGGATTCAGTAACAGCCATAAACGTGAGAGCTCCAGCAAAGAATCCCACCACCCGTGAAATGTCCCTGTAGACAGAGCCATGCTGGCAGCTGTATTTTGGGTCATTAACCTGGGTACACAGGCAGGTGCTGGCAGAGCTTCCAGCCCCTGGCTGCGAGAGCACCTGAATAATCCTTGATTTTCCCCCGTGTCCTCGTGTCCTGAGGCACAGCACCCAGAGCTGGTGTACCAGCACAGGCAAGAAAATGGGTTTTATCTTTCAGATGAACATCACCCAACCTTCCTGAGACACCACAGAGAGAAGCTGAAAAGAGAAGAAATGGACAGTAAGACGTACACAGAGTTGAACATAACAACAGACATTGCTCAGAAGCCTGCTAAGCCGAGATTTCCATCACTGTAATTTAACAAAATGCATCTCAGGCTCTCGTAAGGAGCATCCAGCTCCCCGGGACCAAGGACACGTCAATAGCAGCAGTCAGACCCCAGGAGTTTGGCAGGTGGCTGAATTGGCTGGGCAGCCTCGCTGGTCCTGCTCGGGGAAGGAAGGAAGGAAGGATGGAAGGACGGCGGGTCTCAGCACAGAGGGCTCTAATGAGGATTAATAAGGCGTGTGAAGATGCTCTGTAATTGTCCGGCCGGCTGTTTCCTTTGCACCTTATGCTGTCGTTTATGCTCGTGCAAAGTGGCTGTAAAACGCCCCAGGCCTGATTCAATAGAACTCTGCAGGTTCCTCACACAGGTGTAAATTGTTCTGTGAGGTTCAGGGCACTGTCTAAATGCAAACTAATCTGATCATATCTGGTGCCTCTTTTTTTTTTTCTTCCTTTTTTTACTTCTGTAAACTCCTCTGCAGCCAACTGAACATTTTAGTGCCTAATAAAGTACAGAATATCAGATATTTCGTGCATGAACTTACATCCTAGAAACAGAATTCTCAGCGCTGGCCTGGAGGAGAGCTGGAGCTGCATCAAGATGCTGTGACTGGACCACCAGCACAGCAGTCCTGTGTGCTGGCTGCTGCCCACAGCCGTGGAACATCCACATCAGAAACCTCAGGGGCTGCTGCACAGTGACAGCCAGCCTGAACCCTGGAGAAGCCATGAAAAACGAGCTAACGACATAATGTGGGAGGGAAGGGGCAAAAAACAATGCCTGACCTTGTTCAGACATAGGAAAAAAAACAACTGCAGAGCTACAGCAGATGTAAAATGAGCCTGAACTAAAATGTATGAGCTGGTATTACAGGGAATAACCCTTAAGAGGTGGAAGGCTTTGATAGGCGCACTCCTACAGGTAGCTTCAATCCCTGGCAGCTGCAAGGCTTCGGTAATGAATGTCAGACTGCTGGGCAGCTGTGAGGGGAATAAACAGCTATTTGCCTTCAGTGGAAGTAGCATCAGTTTGACATATGACATTCAAATGATACGAGCTTTAGAAGCGTGCCTAAACGACTGCTGTTTGACTTGGAACCTTGAGCCCGCCGAAGCGGCATCGCCGCCGTTTACCTTGGCTCTGTGGGGGATTGAAGCACTGAGCTTAAAAATGAAAGATCAAAGTGTTTCTGCAAATTCAGCCCGCAGTTTGTCGTGTGTCCAGCTGCTAGAGAACGTGTGCTGGAGTGATGAGAGGGGCAAAGGCAGGTCCTCCCCTTGCCGTGGCCTTTGGCTCTGGTGATGTGAGACTGAGGGGACACAAGATAGGGGATGAAATTTGGGGAATGGGATGAGAAAAAGGGTTATCCTCACCTGGTCCTTCCCACAGCACCCCCTTCTCCTGCCATCCTCCTCCTTCTCCATGTTGGTGGGTTCCTCTTCGAGGCCCTTTGCATTTTGCCTTGCAGGACACCAGCCCGCCCTGCACCATCTCCTGCTCGTTTTAGAGAAAAAAGTGATGCCAAAACTTACCTGCCTGTTTCAGGAGCCCTTGTTAGATCAGCCTGTCAGCTACCAGCACTCACAACCCCTTGCTAACCTACCTGCTCAAGTGCTTTGGCTTGCAATCTTCACACTGAAACAAGAGCTCAGGACCAAAGTTGCTGGAGGAAAAAATCACTGCTTGCTGACCTTTGGGCAGACTCTGTGGGCTGATTATCTCATTGATTTTAACTGAATTGAGCATTCAATACGGGTGTCTGGAGGCCTGTCTCTCCTCAGCAGCGCCTACAGCACAGCACCAGCAGCAATAATACAGACAACCTCTGTGCAAGGCAGGGTCAGGGGCTGGAAAGCTCCAGGTTTCTTGTAAATTGTGGCAGTCATGATTAGCCCACCTGGACTGATGATCCACCTGGGCCTGGCCCCAGGAGCACTGGAGCACATGGGGAGCCCACAGCGAGCATTTCAGGGAGGGAGCACCCTGTGAAGTGCAAACAGGTGCTTGGAAGGAGCCAAAATAACTGAAGCAGAAATGGGTGGGAGCAGATTGGAGCGATGCCACTTGAGGGGGACTGTCCTTCCAGAAGGAGCTGGTGCTGAGCTGGAGCCTGTTTGCTCTGGGAAGCAGGCTCTGCTATAGGAGGAGGATATGCAGAGCAGAAGATGATTTTAGGGGGAGTGGAGGACTTGCTTCAAGCTGTCAGCAGCTGGAGTATATTAGGGGAGCTCCTGAAGCACATCTGCTTTAGTGCCCTCCTAAAAGAAACCCAGTTGCCCTCCCTGGGATCTTGCTAGAATCTGAATCAAAGCATGGCATAAGGTGGACACACATCAAATTTCACTATTGCCCAAGTGTAAACAATTTTAAAGAAATTATAGGTGCAGGTAAACTGAGGCACCGGGCTGTGGAAGAGCACAGCTCCTTTTCCCCTGGATATGGGGGACACCAAACATCTCCCAGACAGCTGCCCAGTCTAGAACACACCCAAGAAACAGCATCCTAGGTACTGAACCTGCTGGAAAATTCAGCATCCAAGCATTTCCCCACTGCAAGATCCCATCCACGCCGCTCCCCAAAGCCGAATCTGTGGGCAAACCTCCCTCTAGGAGACTTGGGAACCCATACAGATGTGTGCTTCTGGATCTTCAGCACAAAATTCAACAAAACAAGGATGAAGTGTGACAGAACTCCACAGTTTTGTCCCTTTGCAGAACCCCACCAGGTGCTGAGGGATGAGGCAGTGCTGTGTCCATCCCTTTGCAGGTACAGCAGCGTTCTCAGCCCAGCTCTGCTCCCTCACTCCCTTGGCATGGGGTGCAGTGGATGAAGATGCCTTTGAACAGAAATGTGAGGGGCTGAAACCCTTTGACACCTCCAAGTGAACTGTATATTTCCAAAATGTTAAGCAGCTTTGTGAGAGAGATTATCCTGAAGGATGTTTTCCCGTAGTGTTGACATTTCTGTTTGAGTGATTAATTCCAAAACGGGCATGGGGTGAGGAGGCAAAATCCTTTTCTCACTGCCTCTGGGCAAGCTCTAGCCTTTGCCCCAGCAAGGCCACTAATTCATCCCTTTGACACTGCAGGTGACTTTGTCACCCTCATCTTGGTCACTTCTCAAGGCCTGAGGATTTTCCATGCCCCTTTTTATGAACCACTGTGATGGCACAGGCACTTTCCAGCTGTTTGTCCTCGAGGAGTCTGACTGCCTGTACATTTTGTCCATGTGCTGTCACAAACACCCTGCCCTGACTTTGGAAAAGAGGACAGCAACAGCTGAAAACAAGGATGGATTGTCATTTTTGGACACTGGTGGCAGAAGGGCGTTGCAGTGCTGCAGGTGATGATGGCAGAAGGGGAGGCCATGGCTGCCTCAGCTCCTGGGCATTCTCTAACCCTCTCACCCAGCTCATGGATGACTCTCTAGGGAAGCAGCCTCACTCCTCCCCTACAGTTCCAGTCAAGGGTGTCTTTCACTTTTAATTTGCTGCACAAAGGTTATTATATCCCTTCTGAGGTTTTCTACTCAATTCCTAAAAAATATAGAAAGTATGAAAAGAATATATATATATATATATATACAATATATATATATATATACATATGAAAAGAATATATATGTATAATCTATCTACCTCTATAAAAAAGAATATAAAAGAAATATAAAAACTGCTATGAAGTGAATTAAATTCCTTTTGCAATAGGAATCACTTCACACCTTCAATGACTCTGCTCAGCTGCTCCTTTTGGGCTGTTGTACCTTCAAATCTGCACCTCCAAGAGCAGCTCTTAGGATTTATGGTGCCCACAGGGACTCATCCAAGATAAAAGTTTTCATCACCTGTCCAAAGGCTTATGAGATCTACAGATGGAGTCAGTTGTGTATGGAGAAAGCACAGCAGCAGAGACTGGTATCAACTGGGCACAGAAGAGACAAGTGAATTTTTTATTGCAGTTAGTATTTCAGCAGCAGTTTTTGGAGGAATAATACGAAATTTTAGATTGTACAAAAAATTACAAAGTTTGGCAAGACTTTGAAGCTCTCAACAGGCAAAGGCACCTTTCTTCCAGACAGGATTGCCCAGAACATCTGAAGGCTCTCAGTGCTGCACCCTGCATAATTATTAATTAAGCTGGTCTTACAGTGGCCTGATATAAAGTAACTGCTTCTCTCTGGGCTCCTCCAGTTAACTCATCTGCACTTGGAATCACACAAAAGCCATCTAAAATAATACCAAAATCTAAATAAATCAGCATCAGAAAATCTGCTGCAGGCATTCAGTCCTGTAAGGACGTGACCATTTTAACACTTGTCAGGGTCATAGCACAGAGCTGAGGAAACAGCCCTGGACAACTCTGCATTCCCAGGAGAATAAAACCAGAAGACACACATAGTCACCCAGCAGGCAGTGGGAACAGGAGAAGTGGCAGCATTACTTAACTATGTGCAATTTGCTCTCCCCATCTTGATTTAAATTACACTGCCAGAAGAGACTGACAGTGTCTGGAATCAAATTGCTTAGAAAAGTGCCTCTTCAGAGAGGGAGAAAAAAATGCCCAAATAACTCGAGTGCAAATGGTCTTGCAAAATGCCTATTGTGACTGGGGACAGCAGGACCTGGGGCTCATGTTCATTAGGACAATGCTCATGTAATTGTGCTGGGCCAAACCCCCATGAAATGGGGGGGGTTGCTCCCCTGACATTCCTACAGCGCACACATTAACCTGGTCTCCTCTCAAGAGCTGGAGGAGGCACCATTAAATAAGAGTCTCTTGCTCTGTTCCTGTTTCCTTCACTTCTTCAGGTCAGCCTGGGCTCTGGGGACCATCTTCAGGACAATGGGCTTCTTTGGCTGCATGAAACCTTTTGAGTCCAGGACCAGTGGGATCTTGAGCAGGAGGGGAAAAACAACAAAACAGCCATGTCAGCTGGGAGAAAGGACAGACAGGACAGCAGGAGCCCTACAGCTCCACACACATCCCAGCTACCCCTTGTTTCCAATGCATTTCCCAGCTCACAGGTGTACTTATCACCATCACTATTGCTCATGCAAAGCAGCCACCAGCAGGTGTTTAACAGCCCTCAGCTCTTGGATAAACTGGTTGGTGAGTGCTGGCTTTCATGTGGTGAGGTACAAAGAGCTCTCGGTGCACTGATCAACAAGCTGCACGTGGAGGGAAGAGCAGCCAAACCCCACCCAGGGTGCTGCAGCTAAATGGGAGCATGCAGTGCCATTCTGCTTAATGCAGAGGTGTGTCAATACTAAGAGCAGCTAGATCATAATGGGAGCTGGCGGAGCAATAAGCTCTCCAGGAAGAGCAAAACTAAAATTACTGCTCAGACCGAGCAGCAAAGCAAAAGCATCCTCAACATGAAAGGTTTCCACGGGGTGGGCTGGGAATCTCATTAGAAATGTTTAAAGCTGGTATTGGAGGGAGTCATCTTGCAGGGGAGGGAAGTGTGTTTTAAGCCTCCCTCACCAATGGATGCTGCTCATATCCTAGCTCCCTCTCTCCCCATCAGGACCAGGGTGGCACATCCCCAGCCCAGCAGGGCACATTCACCCCCCAAATCCCAGTAAGCTTTGTTTCAGGACATTTCAGCAATATGGCTTGGAGCCCAATGTGCCATCAGTGGAGCAGTGAGAGGCTGCAGCTTCCATACACATGTTCCAAAGGGATGTTCCAGCAGGAAAATTTCCCTCCCACTCTGATCTGATGTACATGACACCTTCTGTAGAAAAAAGGCCTGAAAGAGCCCCATAAACCTATGGGCACCAATAATACAATACATATTTAACTTGTCTCCTTTTAATTAAAGGCAGTTATGAAAAGAATCAATTTTATGGATTGCAGAGGACTAGAAAAATGTCATTAGACTTGGGGGAGGGTGGATAGGTCACTGCATTGTTAATGGACTATTACAGTCTTTCACCTCCAGGTTACTAGTTGAGCTGCAATCTGAATCTGCAGAGATTCCAGCTGAACACCCGTGCCAACTAATAATTTAATAAGGAGTTTTCTGTTTCTTACAACAAATGTCCTTTGAGTGACTTGTTGCCCCCTCTGCTCTGATTTCCCAAGCTCTCCTCACCAACAGAGTGTAATAATGGCCCAGCCTTTTGCAGCAGTGAGTGCAGGGAGCTGGGTCAGGCTGGAAACACCGTGGTGCCGCCTGCCTGAGGCACAGGAGCTGCTGTGCTCTCAGCAGGGCTGGACTGACACATCATTTCCAACAGCTCCTGCATTTATTTCATGTCAAACGCTGCCACCCTGCAAGGCCCATCCCATCAGTACTGAATGCAGCATTTACTGGGATCCTGGGCAAAACCATCTCTGGTGGAATCCTGCAGAGCCCCAAAGAGGGAGAAGGTCACCAATTCAACCTTAACCCAGATTGTGCTTGCTTGAAAATTGCTACCCTTTAAGGACTTCCCTGGCCCATAAGAGATGAATTTTGATGTCTTGGGATGTCCCACAGAGAATAGCCATGTTTGTATTGCAGAACACAGCTTTGGAACAGGCTGGGGGATATTCTTTTCCTGCTCTCTGGAGCAGGGTTTTCCTAAGCTGGGTCAAACAGAGAAAAAGTGCACTGGGGGGGAGACAGCACCCCACAATTCAGGTGCACCTGGAGATAGGCACTGGACTTCAGCCTAAAACATCCCACCAACATTAAATGTGCTTCTGTAGGGGCTTTTTATAAAGAGCATAAGTAACTTGTGGTGAACCCCTTAAAATTAACTGAGAAGATTTTAACAGTTATTCCCATGTAAGAGTAGGACCATGTCAGAGGGTCCTAGACATGCCAGAGGATAAAGACACACATCACCCCACATCCTCACCGGTGTGTCTTTGCAGGGTCTGAATGAGAAGTTCTGCAACAGGACAACCACAGCCACTTTCACGACGAGGAGAGCAAACCTCATCCCTATGCAGTTCCTGGGGCCAGCCCCGAATGGCAGGAAGGTGTAAGGGTCAATACTCTCTTTGTTCTCTTTACTGAACCTGATTATAATTAAAAAAACTGAGTTAGCAAGAGCCACTCTGTTTCAGGATATGTCAGCTTCCAAACCTGAAGTGATGAGGGGTCTGGGAAGGGAAAAGCTTTTTGTGTTTCTGTGAATATTAGAAGAATCCAGCTAAGTCCCTGATTTCTGCCTCAATAGATACGTTATGCCTCTGCTTTCATCCTACTGCTCAGATTTGGTTGCGCAAATCCAGGTGCATTGGGTGTCCTGGGAATACCTGAAATACGCTAATGGGATTTCATAACTGCTCTTTTCTCAGAACTCCCTCTCAGCTCCAAAACTGAACCCAGATTTCAAACCCTAAACCACACAGGTCTACAGCTCCACAGCCTCCCTGTAGATCAAAGGACCGAGTGAACACAAAGATGTTCTCCCCCTGTGTGACTAAAGGCAGGGCTGCTTTTGAGACATGCCAGCCCCATTCCTTTCCTCATCATGAAAAACAGGGAAGAACAATCAGCCTCACAGAGAAATTTGCCACTGAGCATTTTCAGTAATACTTCTTAGTGATCAGTTGGTTTTCATGTCAGAAAGCTTTTCATTCCCAGTACATGAGGTACAAACCTCAGCCATGCTAAGTCAGAAGTGAAGTGTCTCACTACTGAGACACCAGCACATCCCTCTGATGAACTCCCAGCAAGGCAAGTGAGCCCTAAAGAGCTCCTGTCCAGCTGCCCATGCCAAGTTTGACAACTGGAATAAGGATGTGGCTGCTGGAGCAGCTGGTGTAGCCTGGCCCATTGCCAGAGCACTCACATTTAGGTGTTTCCTTCTGTTCCATAGGTGCTTCTGCCTGATACCACTGCCATGTTTTGTCTCAAAGGCCACCACATCCCCACACCAGGATTAGTTTCCAGGGGTATTTATTCCTGGTGCAAGGGAAGAGATCTAGTTGTGCTCTCTCTGGACCAAGCCTCAATGTCTTGGTGGCCACCTGAAGACTACCAGGTTCATGGTATCACAGGTCAGTCTTAGGCTATTGCCTCATTTTGCAGGGTCTGATACAGTTCCTAAGCAAAGATTGCTTCATAACTTGAGTTAAAAATTAAGTTTTATTTCCTACCCATCTTTGCCCTTCCACTGCTGATTTGCAGGGCATTGTGCCAGTCACCCAATGGCTCTTGCTTTAATATCTGGCCATAAACCCCTCAGTGTTACAGCTGCTGGGAGCTGCTCTCACTGTTGCTCCCTTCAATGCAGTTAATTAAATTCCATGCACAGTTTATGGATGTAGATCATAAAACTCCCCTCACAGTAATGCTGGGACTAGATGTCAGACAATGATAAATGCTTAATTTAAATGTTATAATCACGCATTCTCCACTTTTGCTGCCATTCCCACTCCCAGGGCTGAGGTTGAACATGCAGCTATTCCCCCACGTGTTCCTCACCTCTCAGGCCTGAACTCGTCCGGCTCCGGCCAGTACTGCGGGTCCCGGTGGAGCACGAAGGCTGGGATCACGACCACCATTCCCTCTGGAATAGTCACTCCACTGAGCTCCACAGTCTGCTTGCAGACCCTCTCGAGCCGGCCCCCAGCAGGGTAGAGCCGGATGGATTCATTCACCACCATATCCAAGTACTCCATCTGAGTGATGGCGCTGTATGTGGGAGTGGCCTGGGAGAGGAATGGGAGGACTGAGAACACAACACTGCAACTGCCAGCCCTGCAGCCCCCCAGTGCTTCCAGGGAAGGAGGAATCTCAGTGCCAGCACTTCTGCCACTCTGTTTCCAGCCTGAGTTTGCAAGGCAAGTGGCAACAAGCCCAGCATCTTCCCCCACTCCTTTACCTTGTTGGGCAGGTGTGCATCGACTTCGTCCTGGAGTCGCTGCTGCACGTCAGGGTGGGTGGCCAGGTTGTAGGCTATGTAGCTGAGGGTGGAGCTGGTGGTCTCATAACCAGCAAAGACAAAGATAAGAGCCTGAGCCAGAACCTCTTCATCATTTAATGCTGAAAAAAGGCATAGAACCACATACAGGAAGCTGAAAATTACAGTGATTAACCCTTGGGAATTCAGGATCCCAGTCATCAGTCTAGGTAATGCTACTCCTAGCTACGTGACAGTTGGTAAAGGGAACATCCAGCTTACCCTGCACAAAGGGGTGCAGGATGCAGTGCAGTGTGTCCTACAAACACCCTGTCCTGGCACCTCAAAAATCTAAAAGCATCCTGCCTTGAGTTGACAGACGAGGACCATGCCTTGACTGAGCCTTTATCTTCTTATTTACCTAGGATAGGGAACAGAGATGAGCTCATAGGTGAGCAAGGTACACACAGCATATGTGCTTTGTGTACTTTTTGATATACAGCCAGCATTGCTGGCCTTCAGAGACAACAGAGTAAGAAATGGGGATAAGGAGATACTCACTCTTGTTGTTCTTTGTTGCACAAACACACCTCAGAAGTTATCCCAGAAAATGAGATATAATAAAAATATGGCTGACCTATGATAATCATCATTATGGCCCCTACTACTGAGACCTTGAATCTTTCATGGGATTAACAACTAAAATCTCTTCCTACTTCTATTAAATGGATAAGGAACTACTGCTTTCTGCTGAGAGGGGGACACATGTCAAGACATACTTTTGTCCAAGTTGGTCTCAGCAGACTTGGGGCCATCATGTGAGTTCTGTGATTCAATCATGAGCTGCAGGAAATCCACGCGGTCCTGGAGAGAATCAGAGGCAGAGAAGATGTGGGTGGAGAGGAGGCAAACCTTGCCCAGGGACCAAAGACCCTTGCTGAGATACCTGCTCCACTCACAGCTCATGGCTTCAGTACATGATCAGGTCTGGACTGCAGACCCTCCAGGAACACAGATACTTTCTCCACTTGGATGCCCAGGCAGGGCATGGTTCTGGCCTTTCTCTGATTTGGTGAGCTTGGAGAACAGGTGACACACCACAGCTTCTGAAGATGCCACCAGGTTCCTCCTGCACTCAAGACCTCTCCAGAAGAGAAGAGGCCACCTAGGCTGGACTCACCGTGCTGCTACCTTTTTCCCGTTCTGTCTTCATTTTTGTGAAGACGTTCTTGAAGAAGTCCATGACGTCTGAGGGTAACAGAGTCACCTTCATCTTCTCCAGCACAGGGATAACAAAGGGGAACAACACTAAAAGGAAAGAAGAGACCAATGCACTTGGGCTCAAAGGGCCCCAAGAAAATCAAAACTGGCACAAAGCATTGAAAGGAGTGGTACATCTGGACCTTGACCTTTTTTGTTGCCTCCATCCCTTTTTACCAAACCATGGCTGGGATGCAACAGCACTTGAGAACCTCCTCCATACGTTACTTTATGACCACAATGACCACACTAAGTGCAGGTCTCTGTGATAGAGAAGGGCTCCACCATCTCTGCAAACAGGGTCTCTCCTCATAGGAGGACACTGCCAAGATCCACATGGGCTGTACAAATCCTGGCTGTGGTTTCCCTGGGGAAATATTTCTGCAGATCTGAGACTGTAAATCAATCCTGCAAAGTGTTGAGCATCTCCCATATGGCAAAAAGCTACTAAGAGAGCTACCAGAAAATGCAGCACCTTTGACATCAATTCAGGGCTGTATGAGATGAGGTTTCTCATACCTAAGAGTAAGACCAGAGGACTTAGGAAACTGAATTGGAGAAATTTCTTAATGTTGGTGACAAAGGGGTCATTGGGGTTGTTCATGGAGTCAACATTGACACTGAAAGAAGTGCTGGTCACCACATCCATGCTGTAAGCTCCAAAAATGCTGAGTAGAGAAGAAGAGAGAGTGAATGAGATGAACCCAACCACAGCAGTAAATAAGAATTCATCTAGGAACAATTCTTGTGAGAGGGAATCTCTCTTAATGCACAGTCCTAACACAGTAGGTCTGTACTGATCTGGCAGTAAACATCATTTTATTTTTGAAGTTTCCCCATTGCATTCATTCCCCCAGTTTTTCTCAGCTTCTAAAACCCAAGCTGTAGTTTGAAAGCACTGAACTGCAGTCTAGGGTAACAATGACTATATTCCGATTTTCATCTGTAAAAGAGATTGCAAAAATGACATCCAAAAATACTGTATCTTGTGCAGCTTCTAGAAAAACGCTGGGAAATGCTTCCTACCTCAAAATACATCCCCAGTAAAATGAAATGGGGAAATGGCACAGCTCTCCCATTTGAGAAGAGCAGAGCCCAGCAAGCCCACTGCTGAGGAACTTGCCAAGCCCAGAGTTTGCTTCCACAGCTGACAAGGGTCCATGTTGCAGCATGGAAAAGGCTCTCCAGAACAGCCCCTTCCCCACACTGAATACAAACCCTTTCCTGTCAGCCCCACATAGTTACTCACTCCTTTGCAGTCACGAACTCATCATTAGCCACTTTCTTCTCAATGTTTTTCACTAATTTTTCACCATAGTGATTAATGATATGGAACATCTGAAATGCAAACCAAAGCAGAAAGCACTGTTGACTCTTTCCCTGCCACCAAACAAGGTTAGGCCACATGGCCATCTGCCACTTGCCACATCTGGCTTGGGGAGGAAGGGTAAGCAAGGGGAAGGTCTCATTTCCAGGCCTCAGACATTGCTTTCTCTCATCCTAGCAACCTGTCCAGAGAGCTCATTTGACTAGATCTGAACAAGGCTCTCCTCCAGAAAATCCACACACAGCTCCTGCTCCAGTTTGGCATCCACTCCAGCTGGGAGCGAACGTGGCTCCTGGGTGCAGGGAAAATGGACAAGCCTGGTGTGGGTGATGTGTTTAGCAGGATGAACATACAGGCCACAGGGCCAACAGCCTCAGCTTGCAATGCCTTGTGTGCTGTTTGATCCCTCATCCCCTTCTCCTGGCTCCCCCCCCAGGACAGCAGACAGAGCCTGTATTGCTGAACGGTACCAACAATGTAGCTGCTCATGGATGTGCTCCTGGCAAACAGGGCAACTTCCCCATTTGAGGGGAAAGTCTGCACTCAGAAACAGCTCAGTTCTCTTCCAGCTGTGAATGCAAAGTACCAATGGCCTGGGCTTTACCTCCTTCAGCTTTCCAGTGGTGAAGGTTGGAGACAGCACTGTACGAATTCTCCTCCACTGCTCATCTTCAGCCACGTTGAGGGCTGACTGCAGGATCCCGTTCAGACGAAAATTCTGCACAGGGCAACAGGACACAGGTGAAGGTTTACAGCCCCCTTCCATGTGACAGAAATGCAAAGAAAAACCTTCCATGGAGTATTGACTCAGGCCCTGAAGTTATGTCAGCTCTATCTCAACCACCAAACAACAGAAATGGAAACAAAAGTCTAAAGAGTCATAAATGACATCAGTCCTTAGGGCACATCCAGGCTGACAGCCCCATGTCCCAGCCAGAGTGGCCCCTACACCTCCCTAACAGAGTTTTGATGTTGGTACCATCAATAAACTGGGGCACATCAGAGAGCAAGTACTTGCTGAAGGGCTCAGAGGAGAACAGAAACCAAGAGGAAACTCCTTTCTTGCTGCATGTGCTCTGTACTGGACAGCAAAGCACAGGACTAGGTACCTACCCGGCGATTAGTAAAAAGGTTGTAGCACTCTTTCACCAGGATGTTTTTGATGAGGATGGGGTCCAAAACAGCCAGCACAGGCTGCCTGCCATCATAAAACCTAAGCCAAGAGAAACCCACAGTCAGTACATCCTTCATGGTCAGGTGGAGCAAAAGCAGCCAGCTCTGTCCATGGCCAGAGCCACAGCAGAAAGGGTTTGGGCCCTCTGACAAAACAGCTATATTGATCCCCTGCACTTGGGCTGTCTGAGCTGTTTCCACTATTGATGGCTGGAGACAAGAAATCCACACCAAGCAATCCACCTGTGGAGGAAAGAGATTTCCTGCCTGAGCTACAAGGCACTGAGAGGCAAAAAACTCATCTGTCTCCTCCATTTTCCAATCAACAGAGACAGAAAAACTTAAAAGTCATGGTGTGGGCTAAAGGGCAGGGAGCCCTGGGCCACAGCTAAGGGAAGCTGCCATCTTCAAGAAGCTTGAGAACATTTAATCTTTCAAAAAAATGCACCAGGTTTTGTGAAGCCTCCCAGGATTTTTTTTGCACAGCAATTTTGTTTTGGTTTGAGAGGTTCTCAGTAGAAGCATGATAAGAGGCCCCTGCACAAAACAAGCACTGTGCAGGGAGCAGGGAGGCAGGTTGAAAGGTAGCTTGTGCCCCAGCTCTGGGAGAAGCAGGGAGCAAGATGAAAAACACCGTGGCAGCCTGCAGCTTGCTTTCTGCTCCAGACACACAGAAGAGCAGCTTCAAAGGCAGAAGGCTCAGTTTGACACCAAGCAGTGGAGGTGATTTTCAAAACTTATGCAAAGAAATGACCCTACAAACTGGCCATCACCATGCCAGCCTCGCACCACAGTAAAATCCCAGCAGGAGAAAAGCCTTGGAGAGATGGGTGGAGACTTTCCTAGTGGTAAACCTCGATTCTCCCAGGCTGTCACTGCTGGAACTACAGTGCTGAGGAATATAACATCACTGTAACCTTTTCCATTCTATTCTGGGGCTGTGGAGCACCCCAAACTGGTAGCTTTGTTCTGCAGAAACTCACCCCCAGATTTTTCCATACTTTTCAAAGCACTGCTGATCAAAATTGTGGACTCCCTGGAAAAGAAGAAAGGAGAAATGAACAGCTTGCCAGTGAAAAGTGATCAAAGCAGGCCACAGCTGGCAGCACAGTGCATCCCATGGCACCATTATAAGTGGCAGAGGTTGAGGTTGGGAGGTGCATTGTCCTCTTAAGCATCACATAGATGCTTAGGGTACATTTGCATTGGAGAGAAAAAAGAGAACAGAGATTAAAAAAAAAAAAAAAAGGCACTTTCAACTTCCACCAGCCAACCTGATCTAAAAATGTAATGAAGACAAGGTATGACAGGGTACAAAGTTTTACTGAGCAGAGTTAGAAGGCAGATCTGGATCCCAGGGTGTCCTTTCACCTTCAGCTCAACAAGTTAGAGCTACTGCTGCCTTGTCCTCATATGATCTTCCTCTGCAGTTACTGAGCTGAACACAGATTTTTATTTTGTTTCCCTTAGGGTTTTAACTGATGTTACATGTAACAATGAAACTTATGGAACAGGTAAGGCTCACTAAACCATTAGTAAGAGACAATGTACATGATGTAAACCCAGCAAATAAAAGTGAAACACCTCTTTTATTGAAGCCACTACACTTGTTCTGCATTTGCAATGAGCTACCTGGGTTCAGCTACTGCCTTGTCATTTGATGAGGTTTGGTAGCTTGATAATGTTTGAGTATTATTTAAAAATGTATTTGTCTGGTTTAGTTTCAGGCTGGCCCAAAAGTAAGTGGTTGGATGAAGCATTTCTGGGGGTAATTTGGCCTCTTCACGTTAATGATAAAAAGGGCAAAGAAACACGCAGTTCCCAGAAAACAGCAGTCTTAGGAATCTCTCCAATGATTTTTTTTTTGTTTCCAACAGAACTTCAGCTGCTTGAGAGCAGGTAGAAACACAGTGAGAAACTGAAAATTTAAATTACAAAGTAGTTTTAAAATACAGCACACCTCATTCAGGTCAGCCTGAACTTTTATGTTCTCGCTGTGCCCAAAGAGCTTCCTACCTAAAAGCATAATTTTCATCTGACTGAAACAAGGACAAAGGAAAGAGCTGCCCAAAGAATGGGGAAAACAGCACCAGGCACAAGAAGGGTCTAAGGCATTAGAGAGCAGCAGCTGCTGGTACTCACATGCCGGTACTCCAGGAAAGTTCCCACAAATGGCAGAGGCCGTGGACCAGGAATGCCCAGCTTCGTGAAGGTCCGGTAGGGCCATATCCCATAGCTGCCAAGCAAAGAACATGTGAGAAGCAATTATGCAATGAAAAGAGAAGATACTTCTTCCTGAGCACAGAGAACTGCTTAAATAACTGGTTTCTGTCACTCAGGGAAAGCTGAAATTATGGACCAGCAGCAAATTATGGATCTGCTGAGGATACTCTTTGCAGTAAATGCAGGATCGCTTGGGGTACATTTTGATGGAAGACAAGAGCTATAAGAAGCTGCAGCCCAGCCTAAGCAAACTAGTATACCTGCGAAGCTTAGGGCTTACTCAGGGCTTCATTTAGCCAGCTCAGACAGCTGTGGCTCAGGTGACTCAGGAGAGATCTCGGAGCGATTGAGTTCTGAAGCAGAGACCTGCCCTTGTGTTTGTCTTTGCAAAGACCTCCTGCGATGCTCAGGTGGCCACGCTACAGCAGCATGGCAGGGACATAAATTACCACAGCAAAATTAAGTTTTTGCCTGTATAGCTCACTACAGCTCCCCTGAGCCACATAAGCCGAAGTTTTGCCAACAGAACTACTTAATCGGGGGGTTCAGCTGGCAGCAGCTCCGGCATCACCCTGCCTGCTCCCAGCCGGCACAGCCCAAGGACGCCAAGGGCGCTGTTGTCTTTAAACACCCCAAGTTATTCCTTCTTGGGAAAAGCTAAAAAAAAAAAAAAAAAAAAATCAAACATTTCCTTTAACTTCCCTCCACGCCCGGCCCAGCTCGCTCCTTCCGCCATGCCGGGAGGGCAGGGCGGGGTCCCGGGTGGTTTCAGCCCTAATTCACCCACTGGCACCGGGCTCTTCTCCTGCCCGCTCCCCCAGAGGACCGGCCTCTACTTACAGGGCCACGAGGCACAGGAAGGCGCCGAGGAGCAGCCAGGTGACGGGGGAGAGGCTGGGCAGGAGCTGCATGGTTCCCGCAGTGCTCCCTCCTCTGCCGCCGCCGCGCCCCGGC